CCCTAAACCCTAAGCCCTAAACCCTTCTTTGGTTCTCGGATGACTTCGAACCGGCAGCCAACGCAGAACCCTAAGGCTTGAAAGGCGAGACGGTGTCGGACTGCATCCCGGGACAAGAACTGCTACGAAAGCCGAAACCCCTGAACACTCCAAGCTCGCCTCGGTTTGGACCAAAAATCGAAATCAGTCCTACGACATGTAGCCTGGCAGCCTGTACGGCAAGCAGAAATGGTGGTGCACTGGCATGAACCACACATGCCTGAAAGCGTGCTTGTGTGGAAGTACCTCGCATTGCAGCTGCAAAACCTTTCTAAGTAAGGTGTATCACAGTAGTTAATCCGGTCTGTGTGCTGCTCGCACGGAAGAAGAAACCTTTCCACCTAGCACTGCATGAAGCAATCCTTTACGTGCCTCCCCCCATATTGGTGCAAGTTCTGTTCGTCACAAGGCAGACCACTCACTTCTCGAGTGGGCACCGGAGTGTCCGGCACAGTCCCGAGCTGTTTCAGGCTTTTTGTTGTTTTTGGTTTCGGTGTTAGCACAGACCCTGCGATTCTGTAGGTTTAGCCATGATCTGCATGCCGCTATTATCATTCCAAGTTGCTTCGGCGGAATAGCACACTCAGGGAAGGCTTCGTCGCGGGATCGAAGTGGCTGAGACAGGAAATCATGGTCTTTCTAGTTGGAGTGATATCCTAAACCCTAAACCCTCTTCGCAGCAAATGGCCCAAACATCTCTGCTGAAGCAACCGGCTAAGCATATGCCGCCCAACATCCGGTCCAAGTTGCTCCCGGAGAACAGCACTGCATGCTTAATCTGTGCCCTTCCTTATTTGGTATTATGGAGACAAAAAACGCACGCAAGTAAGAATAACTTGCCTATGCACGCAAGTAGGAATAGGATCATTGGTCTGCTTTTGGGCAGCGAGGCTCTTGACGCTGAGCTGAACCCTGAGACTGTAAGACTCAGAGACCTAAGCCTACCTCTGCACTTAGACAACAAAGGCTAAGCCTAAACCCACAGCTTAGGGTTTCGGGTTCAGGGTTTACGTTAGCCCCAAATAACCTACCTCTTTGAGGACTTACAATCGTAATAGGGAACCCTAAAAAGGGAGGTTCCTTAGGGTCCAGGTAGGGTGTAAAACCAGAATCCCCCAGAAGCACAGCTTTCAATGTTCAGCTGATGGATTCCACCGGCACCCAGAGATCTTGGCAGCCGAGGCTGTTTCGGGCTCAGGAGCTCAGGGGTTCCTTTTGAAGGGTACTCTGTTAACTAAGGGCTCCTTCAAAGGGATCCTATAGGGATTTTTTGGGGGTTTTTAGGGTTTCATGAGGCAGGTTTTGAGGCTTCGGGAGCTTCGGCTTTAGGGATTTTAAAGTGTGAAAACGGAGCCTAGATCTCCCCGAACCCTGAAGCCGAAAGCCGGAACCCGAAACCCTAACCCCTAAACCACCACCCTAGAACCATAAACCCTACCTTAACCCCCAAAGAACCTACCTTTTTTTGAAGGACTTAATATAAAGAATTCATAGAAAACAAGGAACCCAGAAAAGGTAGGTTCTTCAGGCTCCAGGTAACCCCTAAAACCCCTAAACCCTAAACCCCTAAACCCTAAACCTCTAAACCCCAAATCCCCTAAACCCCTAGACCCCTCTAGGGCTAAGGGTTTCCGGGGGCCGATGGCATCTGCTGCCAAGCGCCTGTTGGGGCTGCTGCTGCTGGGATTCTGGCTTGTGCCTGGGGCCGATCCTGGAAGCTTTGTGGGTTTAAGGTTTTGGGTTTATAGGGTTCAGGATTTGGGATCTATGGTGTAGGGGTTAGGGGGTTCAGGGTTTCGGATTTAGAGTTTTGAAAATTGGGGGTTTCGGAATTAGGGGCTTGGGGCCTTTTTCTTTCGGTCGAAAGAAGGCCTTCGGTGCACATACCCTGCGTGAAGCCATGTACCTTGACAGCAAAGGCTGCGATTTATGAACGTTTTTATGAGTTCTGGGAGGGGTAGAGGGCCGAGACCAACTGAAGAGTGTCGGCTTCTTAGAGTCCTGGCACTCTAAACCTTAAGCCTGCATGTTTGGCCCGGCCGCACCAGTGTGAGCCTAAACCCTAACCTCTAATCCCTAAACCCCAAAACCCCAAAACCCCTAAACCCCAACACCCCTAAACCCCCAAAACCCCAAAACCCTACACCCCTAAAGTCCCTAAACCCCTAAACCCTCGAGGTGCTCCTTTCGAGCTGGCGACAGAATGCTGTGAACTTTGCTTCCTTGTTGACGAAGGCGCGCGGGCCTGGTTCCGGCTCTTGCTGAAGACCGTAGTGCAGGTTGCCATAATAAGAAAGACAGCTTGCTACTTACTGTTATATATATATACATGTGTATATATATATATACACATATAACATCTGCGTTTGTATATATAATCCTATATCTCTCTTGATCTACTAAGGCTGGTAACTTCAGCCAAATAGGCTCCAGAAGAAGAGCCCAGTCGGCGATCTATCAGCAGAGCACTTTTGGTTTGGGGCTCGGGATTCGATGCTCGAGGTTGAGGCTCTGCACTCTAGTGAGAGCTGAAGTCATAAAGGATACAGCCCTGGTTTAGGGTATAGGGTTTAGCAGCTCTAAGGCTTAACCCGCCCTCAAGCCCACAGTCGAACATCTAAATCCTGGGCACATGGCCACCAACTCGGTCTGGGGCATAATGTGGGCTAACATAGGGGTCGCAAGAATTATAGCATCCCCCTTTCGAGCGTCGGTAAAGCCATAGTATAGTTGTCTCACCAAAGCCCTATTCCATTTAGGCCCTAGGCCCTAGGCATTAAACGAAAGCTTGAGGAAGTTTCGGAGGTTTGGGATTTGAACAGCGTGATCAAGGCCCGTGATGATGCTGCCAGCTGGACGAAACTCGACACCACAGGTTTCAGGGGGCAAGCGTCAAGGAGTCTGGGGTTTGGCATCGATTTGGGGTCTTGTTCCTTTAAGGTTCAGGTGGTACGGTTGCAGTTCCAAACTCAGAGCGCGAAGACCCGAAATATCATCCAAAGAAACTTGTGCAGCCCTTATAGACTATAGGTTGTTTTTTTTGACAGCAGCCAACCTGACAACCTGATACCCCAGACTACGATCGCCGTAAGGTTTCCGCTGGATCCATGCTACCGGGACTTGAAGCTCATCGCGTCCTCCACGCTGCCCGGCTTGTCGACACCATGCTGTATGTTGTCAGATTTGATGGTGTGTCGTAGGATGCGTGTTGAGCTTTGGAATTCTTTGCCCTCGACCTTGGAGTTCTTCAACATCATCATGTCCCTAGGACTCCAAGTATACAACTAGTACCTACTTTGAGGTCTAAAGTCTGTGAATCGTACCTAGTTTGGGCTATTTGGAGCCGCAGGGTTTGGGTGTTCCGAGATTCTAACCCTAGACCCGATAAATTCTATGCTGCTCGATGAACGCATGCCCGGATCCACGGAACGGAGTTGATCCCACCCCACAACCCAACCCTCTTTAAGGACTTATACGTTATTATTTATTATACGCTGAACCAATGATGAACGGTGTTGAATTAAAGGGTTCATGACTGGTCACAAGAGTCACCAGGGACATGAGGGTTGGGCATGCCGAACTATAGTTTGCAGTATGTATGACTTATACTAAAAAGACAGTGTTGCTGTAACCTTACAGGCCACAAGCCCGAGTTCTCTCGGTTTCACTGGGATTTAAGTACTCGAGTCTGAGAAATGCGAAATGTGCTGGAGCGGCGTGCATTCCAGCTTAATGGCTCTCTGAGTCGCGCCTGTAGCCCTCACTGTGTCCTAAGTGGCAGCCTGTAGCCCCCAAGCGCTGCACCCAAATCAACCGCACACGATAAGTACCACACCCTGAATCCCATGAACACCCTTGCTAAACCCCTACTACACCTGACCCTATAGCGAGGCCCTCAGCCTAAGCCCCTTCCCGAACGTCTTATCGAAGCACCGCCCTCCGTTCAGTAGCCTAGACCAAGGGGTTAGCGTGTACAAGGGTTTAGGGTTCACGCTTTAGGACGGTCCGGACATCAGGCACCTATCATAAAGGTAGTACAGCATGCAGCCTACACCTACTCTACTTGTTGAGGCCCCCTACGTTGAACTTGAGGTACATGGCTCAATCAGACAGCTGGCAATCTGCTCCGTTTCCTGGGCACAAATCGCCAAGGTCAGGGTTCGGAGGGGCCGGGCCCCCGAAGCCCAAGGCCCAAACGACTAAGTAAATGGATGCTCGGGCTTAGGATAGTTATGATAGGTGGTAGCATCTTGGGGGGGGAGGACATGTCTGGTAGCATCTGGGGGAGGAAATCTCAGTGTAGTATAGCGGTCTGGAGACTAGAGCGCATAGAGCAAGAGCATCGTCTTGTAGACAGAATATACTGATATCATAAATAAGCCATACCTGGAAGACGCAATTATTAAAGCTCCTATATCAGTTACGACTTGCAGCATAAAGGCCTCGCAGGGAGAGAAGGAGTGAGTCAGATAAATTGATAAAATTGTGCAGCTGGTACAGGGACAATCCCTGCAACCCTAAACCCGACTTATTACTAATATTGCTCCTTAGGTTTACTTAGTGTGATACCATACTATACTATACCATATCATACTATACTATACTATACTACACGACATTATACTATTTATTACATAATAAATACTTTTTCGTTTCTATTATTTACTATATACTTTACACGATGTACTGAATATTACATATACACTGCGTACTATACACTGTACACTATACACAACATTATACTGTACTACACTTTACTAGAATACAATATAACATACTGTACTAACCCTATACTATACTATACTATTGTTACTGGTAGCAACAGTGGCAGCCCCAAAAACACAGCATCAGGCCTTTTCCTTGTGTGCAGCTTGAGCCAACGTCGTTGGCGAAAGTCTCGTGAGCTCCTGGCTGTCTGCGTGCAAGACGATTTGGGAATAGCCTAACAGAAAACACACCGGTCACACTCTAGATTCCCAAATCGTAAGAAAGAGGTTCTCATTGGCTCTTCTGGCCTCCCGTTCTAATGCTTTGGCTTGCAAAGCATGTCCCTCTTCCATCACAGACCAAAAACCATGGCGGAGAACATATCTCAGATATGTCCCCGGGTGTTGCTTGGTAAGCGGATCTGATAACATCGATCTCGTGTCAATCCAGCGGATTTTTCCGCTGGTCTCTGCAAGATCCGCCTTGATGACTGCCAGATCAATGGCAGTCCGCTTGTCGCTCACGTATGACGCTGTACAGGCACACTTGTTAACGGCATCATATAAAGATTTGGAATCTACAGCTGCGAGGAAGGGTAGTCGTCCTGCCACTGCCCTCCAATCAGTCACCGAAAGGTCACCGAAGAGGGCCTCCATGAAGAGAAGGCGGTGCCAATGCACCGCGCCCAAGCCTCCTTGCAAGGCTTGACCCTCAGCCGCCAAGGTGTCCACCGTCTTCCTCTTGAGACGGTAGCTTTTCCAAGATGCTACGGTCGTCATGGCCGGCGTCTCTGTCTCCGAAAGACGACGGTCGTGGTAGATCACGATTTGACCTCCTTGGCTGCTGAGATTCAGCAGCTGGCTCAGACTTGAGTGCACCTTGCTCGCTGCCAGCTTCTCCTTCTTGGACTTCTGGAAGTAGCTGCTCCCGGTCCAAGTTCCGTCTTGGACCACTCGGATGCCGTTAGCATCCGACCATTTGTCTTCGATGACCTCCTTCCGCATCGTCCCGTCCGCTGCCGTGTCAAACTTGACAATGGTGCGGTACTCTGTCAGATCATGTAGATCAGGTCCGGCCGGCGCAGCTCCTGGATGGAACGTTGTCCGCCGGGGTTGCACATGGTGACGGATCCAGCCGTCCACCTGTTCTTCCCAGTAGTCGTCTGGGCTGTCCTCGATCCAAGGCTGCTCCTTGGCGTTCCCCCACGCCGCGTCCGTCACCACTGACACCCGAAGATCCTCGATCGGGATCGGCATAACCCTTATTCCGAGGTCACTGTGCTTCCGGGCCTCCTCGCTGATCCGGTTCGCTTCGATCAGATCCTTCACCTGTGGCTCGGGGAAGGCTTGAAGAAAAGAGCTACCCGACCAGCAACATCACATCTTGATTCTTTTGCCAGCCAAGATAACACTCCCAGAGCGCTACGCAAGGATTCAACTTCTGCAGGAGAACACTTGGAGTATCGTTGTTGCTTGCGCTTCCTATCCAATGGAATCATCTGAACCTTGTCTTCTACATAGAACTTCTGATTCACCAGGATAGAACCGTCTGGCTGATAGAAAATATCTTTTCCAGTAAATCTACCTTGCCCCTGCTGGTTCTTGCCCAACTTATACTCCTTGGAGATCACCTCGATGTTCTCCCAATGCCTCTTGGTGCCCCCGTGCAAGAGATCATCTGTGGCCACCCCAATGATCCCCTCCAACTTCGACCCTTCTTCTGGTCCACTACGAAGAAAGAAAACACATGGATCAGCTTTGCTGGTTTCGTAGCCTAGGGTTTTCAGCTTCTTGGCAAGATGCTTGTACCAGGCCAGTGGACCGTCTGTCAAGCCATAGCAGGTTTTAAGAAGGCGAAGCAATTGTTTCGGATGAGCACCGGGAATACCTTCTCGAGGTTGTCGACAATAAAGTTCTCTCTGAATCCAATCCCCGGAGTGAAAAGCTTGAGTGAAATCAAGGAACCCAGGAACCCATTGAAAGCTGGCGAGCATCTGCAGAATGAAAATCACCGAGTCTCTGGTAATCTGAGGAGTAGTGAATTCAACTTCCAGAGCAGATTCTTCTGAATACCCCTTCATAACATGTCTGCACTTGGCCTTGCACGGACCGTGGGAACGGTCCTCCAGAAGAACACCTTCGCTCTCGGCCTTGCTCACCTCAGCAGGCTCCAAGGGTTTCTTGGTAATCACATAGCGCGATTCCATTATCTTCTCCGGCTTGGTCTGCTCAATGTGCTGAGAGGCTTCACGGCTCAGAATTTCATACGCTTGAGTCCCTAGATTATTGTTGATCTCCTTGAGAATAGCCGTCTGAAGTCGTTCATAATCGACACCCTTGAAGTCGCTGGCCTTGGACTCCTTCTTCTGTCTCTGCTTGGCAAGCCCCTGAAGATGAAGATGGTATGTTTCAATCAGGTGCATGCGGCTGCGCTTCCCGGGAGGATCAAGATGCTCTTCGGCTTCCCTCTTTAACCCTGAAGACGAACCCAAGCCCACACCAGCACCCTGTTCCTCTGAAGCGATCTGGTCGTTGAGCTCGATGTCGTTGTCGGCGTCAAAGAGTCCTGGCGGCAGAAGGTTGGGGTCTGGAAGTTCTGCTTCGTCTTCTTGTACGGGTTCTGTAGGAGCTTGAGGTTCTGGAGGTGGTTCAAGTTCTTGATCGTCTGCCTCGGGTGGTTCTCTAGGGTCTGTAGAATACGTAGTTTTTCGACGAACTCTACGTAGTGGTATTGCGTCTCTAGGAGGTTCTCGGGGACCGACTGGTACACTAGCATCTTCTCCCTCATCTACTCCATCAGGCAATTCTGGAAGATCGGGATCGCCTGCTGGATCGTCGGTTAGATCTAGGAAGCCTTTCTGGGGGATCTTCTCGAAATCTCGACGGGTCTGGGAAATACCACGTAACCAACCGGACACCGATAGGTTCTCTTCAGAAGACGCGTGCCGAACTCTCTCAGGTGAAGCTTTGACAAGCAGATTGTTGTAGGCAACGTACCCACACGGCGCTGGGCAAGGATGTCATCACCACACGTCCCGGACCCGCCCAGTATGATTGCCTTGTCTTCTTTGTGCTGCCCGCGCCTCGGCGCCAGAAGTAGACCAACTGGCCAACTTCAAAGTCGAACACCTTCCGGGGCCCGGCTAAAGTAGCAGCACGCAATGCTTGGTCACAATCTGCCGCATGAAATGCAACCGCGGCAGCCTTTCGCATCTTCATGGAACGAACCACCTCTCTATCCCCGACTACCATCCTAGCTGCATGTGTGTGATCGTCTGCTCCACCTGTGAGCAGTCCGCCTGGTAGACGAGGGGTGTAACCGATGACTCGTTGGATCGGTGAATACCCACCTCGAAGAAGCAAGCGGTTGCGGGTCATGCATGCAATGTCAACGAGCTCCTTCCACTCCTCTCGGCTTTGACAATGGTAGTCGATCATGGACTTATAGAGGATATCCTTGAAAACACCGCCGGCTCTTTCAGTCAGGCCTCGCTGGGTCGGAGTTTCCAGCGAACTCGGCAGCGCTTCGCTGCCGTCGTTTTCAACCTGGCGACGGAATTCGGCCTTAAACTCCGTCCCAAGATCAAACAGGACCTTGCGGGGAACCCCGAAAAAGCGGATCCATTGTCTATATGCCTTGCGAACTTCACTTGCGGATTCAGCAGCCATTGGAATCACGAGCTGAAAGTGAGTATGGAAATCAATTATGTTGAGCGAGGGAACCGCATCGTTGTTGTGATCACGAAGATGAACTGTGTCAACACCTACCTTTTCATTGATGTACAGCTCTTCCTTAGGCGGCGCACCTTTCCGAACAGCTTCTGGAAGTCGATATGCCTGACAAGTGGCACATTGAAACTGCTGAGCAGCATCAAGAACTTCTTCGGAGGCGTTAGACTGACGAAGTATTCGCATGAACCGTCCATGTTCAGGATGCCCAAGACCTTCATGGGCCCTCCGGATCATCCGCTCTAGAGTAACCTTCGCCATGCCTGGGAAGTGCCGCATCTTCTTGTCGGCCTTGTCATCCAGCCGCTGCTGGTAGACGCTGATGTAGCTCGTGTTGGGCTCCAAGCGTGGAGCTTGTCCCAGATCTTGCCATCGGATCTCGTCTTCGAGAACGACCCATCGTCCTCCCGCTCTGGTCCATGTAGATCTCCATGGCAACTTCCGTGCTTCATTGTCCGCCGTAGGCACCGCTACCTCCGGCTCGTTCTCTCCCACATAGAGCCACCGCTTAGTCATTGGAACTGGTTTCCAACCGCTTTCCACCACCAGGTCTTGGGTTACTCCCAAGGCTTCCGGTTTGATCTCCTCGAGAACTTCCGGCGGCTCTGGCTCGTCGGCTTCCCCGACCATCACCTCGGCCACTGGATTTTCAAAGTTCTCCTCGATCTCCTCCAGCTCGAGTGGAGCGAAGTAGTTGGCATCATGCCGGAGGTCCTCGGACAGGATCTTGCCCGAGGTTTGCACTTGCACCTCTTGAGGTGCCTTGCCAATGGACCTGGAGTAGCTCTCCAGGATGGCATCCACCAGCTTCGGTGGATAGTTCTGGGCCCTTTTTGAAATCGCCTTGCTCCCCCAGATCCAGGCATGGTTGTGGTCCCGGCCACATCGCTTGGCCAAGGCCTCGCCGACCAACTTGTTGTTCGTCACGAACCCGGTCGGCTTCTTGTGCAGCTGGCCCTGCCGGTCAGTCAGCCCGAAGACGCATTGGTCCGCCAAGGCGAGAATCACACCAGCTTGGCGTAGCAGCCGTTGCACAGAAGGCATCTTCCATGAAGAGGCGCCACGGGGATGCTCAAACACAAAGGTGGAACCCTGATCATGACAAACTTGGCACACCTGCATTGCGAAGTTAAGGAGGATCTTGCCCTGCTTCAGCTTAGCAAGATGTCTTTTCATCGCTGCTACATTGGTCTTCCGGAAGTTGTCTAACAACCTGTTGAGCACACTGAATGCCTCGCACGGCGGAGATACCACCACAAGTGGACGCTCTTGCTTGATGTATGTCAGAACAGAGTGCTGCACGGAACGCTTCAGCAGATCATGACCTAGCTCAAGATCAAACGCTTGACCGGGTCGAAGTCGATAACGCTTGGCTCTGCTATTGAACCGGTTAGGGTTATATACCTCTGCAACAAGCTTGGTCTCCTGAAGAGAGAGGGCAAACAACTCCTGATAGTGACAGAGCTTCTTGGAGGATCGGCCTTGAAGCTCCCGACTGGCTCGAACTTTTAGCTGCGAGAACCCATGTCCGTGCCGGTCGCAAAGACAGCTTTCTACATCTGTCCACTGTCGCTCGGCTCGTCGGAGATTCCCGAGGACTTGGCGACTCTGTCGCTTCCGAAGAGGTTTCACCTCTTCTGTCCGTTCTTGAGTGCCTGCCACTTCTTGAACTCCCTGTACTCGTCCCAGTCGCTCTTCTCCTGCATCTCGTGAGATGAGCTCGAGCTGTTCTGGCCCTTGTTGCCCTTCGGATTGCGTGCCGCCTGCGGTGGTGGACCCACCGGCTGTGGCGGCGGTGGTCCCCGCGGCCTCGCCGGGTCGTAGTCCACTGGAGATGTCCCGCTCGGACTGCGAAGAAACGACGAGGGAGACGTCGGCGATTGATGTTCTTGCTCCGCCGGCACCTGCCTGGGCCCTGGTGAGCACTTCTCCTTCTTCAAGATCTTGCCGCAATCTCGGCACTTGACCTGTCTCACGAAGGCATTGGATCCGGCGTAGGTGGTCGTCTTGTGCTGGCACTCCACGCTCATCAGGGTGAAGCCGGATTCCAGGCTGATCTCGGACATCACTGGTGTCGTCGGTGATGGCTGTGGCGCCCTCGGGTAGTTCACCGGAGGCGGGATCTCGTCGGAGCTCCGGGCAGAGGCCATGCCCGGGTAGTGGCCCACATTCTCCGGGCTCGGCTGCCAGTAGGGTTGGTGCTCCAACCAGCTGAAAAAGGTGCAGCGGGTCGATGTGTTCCTCCAGAGAGGACACCGGCGAAACAGCCTTCCTTGGTTTCGCCCCTCCTTCCGCGTCTGCAACACCACGGTCGGTTGGTTGCAGAAGCATCGGATCGTCGCCCGGTTGTTCTCGACCACGCTCTGAGTCGCCACCGGGTGCTCCACCAGTATGAACTCGGTCTCGCCTGGTCCCTCCATCTCGGCGTCCGGAGTCGTCTGTCGGCTCCACTCCTTGCGGGCATCCCACTGCTCGTCCTTGGTGTGCTCGAGGGCCCGGCGCTCCAGGTGCTGATTCACCGCGTGGTTCAGCTGATGCAGCTCGTTGCCTGTCAGTTGAGGCAGCTCCCCGAGCACTTGGTCGATGAGGATGTGCTTCGGCCCTCGCACACCCAGGTGCGACAAGATGGCTGTGGAAATCGCATGGATACACGACATGATCATCCGAAGGACCATGCGGTTCCAGGCCAGCTCGCTCTCGGTGAGGTCCTGCTTCTTCTTCTGGGTGCGGGAGCGCTTCTGGGCCGGCATTATGGAGATGATCGAGAGGTCGGGGATCACGTGGAGGTATGGAAGCACAGGGTGGCTTGCTGAGCCGATCTTCACAAGGGATATCAAGTTGATGAGCATCATGTTCCGGTTCAAGTTGTTCCAAGGCTTTGCTAAGTTCGGCTTGCATACCTCTAGTGAACCTGTGCAACGGAACCCTGAGAGCACCTGTAGGTCCAATATGCAATGGGATCACATGGTTGAACTTCTTGAGCTCCAGGCTTAAACCCTTCACAGGATCAAGATGCAGAACCGAACGGCAGTGAAGAAGGAAGGGCAGCGATAGCAAGAAAGGTGCCTTCCGGGTAGCTTCATCTTCAAACACCGCGGGTCTCAGCAAACATCCCTTGGGTCCCAAGCTTGTTGGAATGCATGCCACATGATCTGTCTTACTGATGCCGTTGATGGATTTGAAGTGATGAACCTCATTCTTGACTATGGTTCGAAGGCCTGGGGGCTGATGCTCCAGCAGCTTCTGCAATGTCTCGCTACCTACCGCAGATCTCTGGCAGCCGGTGTCAACAGTAGCACATGTTGCGTCATCGTCCGGCAGAGGTTGTGAAGACCTGCTAAGAAACCAAACATCATGAACAGGCAGTCGCTCCTTATACGCGGACAAAACCGAGGCCGGTCCGACTGGTCGCCTGTGGGAGCTACTGCTGGTAGCTCCGCCATACGTCATCTGTTCGTCGGACTCCGTGGCGATGACCTTCTTAATGCGGAGAAAGTCTTCGAAGCCGAGGAAGTGGGCTTCGTGAGCACCGGTCTCTAGGAGATGTGTGGTGTGCTCCTTGTCGCCCTTGTTGGCCCTCCGGTTAGGATGGGGGCATTCACGATGCCAGTGCCCGACCTGCTGGCAATTGGCGCACTTGGTGCGTCGCTTGATCGCCTCGATGGAGACCTTGTAGGATCCTTCGAAACCACCCTTGAAGCCAGACTTGCCCGCTCCTTTGCCAGACCCTTTTCCAAAGACTTGCCTGGCTCCAGAGCCATATCCTCTGGCCAAGTTCTTCTGCTTCTTGGCTTCGTTCACAGCCGCAAAGGTCCGCTTCTTTGCATGCTCCTTGACCATCGTAGACAGGATCTCTCGGGCCTCGTCCTCATCGAAGATGGCCCCGTCGTCCTCGGTCTCCTCGAGGGCGTCGTCTCCAAGGTTCTCCATGGCATTCAGCAGCACCTCGATGCCGCCGTCCTCGGTCTCGTTCTCGAAGTCGTGGTCCGGCTCCGCGAAGATGTCGGAGCTCTCCACGTGATGGGCCGCAGTCACCTTGGTCTTGGCCGCCGCGTTGGCCATGGTGGTAGACCGCAGGTCCAGGTTCGTCTCATGGACTCTGACCCACTCCTTGACATCCTTCTGACTGAGCTTCCCTTGGGTAAAGTTCATGAGGAGCTTCACCTCCTCCTGGTTCAGCTGAAGTGCCATTGTCAGCAAGAAGCCCAGGTACTCCGGGGGCAGGGTGATGTTATGCTCGGACAGCTTCCGAATGGCAATTTCCCAACGGGAGAAAAACTCCTTGTGGCCCTCGTTCTTCTGCCGCCTTGTGGCGTACGTAATCTTGAACAGGCTATTCAGCATGTCCTCCCGCTCGTCGTCACCGTAGAGCTCCCGGGTGTCCATGACCTTGAGCAGCTTCTCGCCATTGTCCTTGGACTTCATCCATTTATCGTCCTTTGCCAAGTACTTCATGTCGTCAAAGGGGACTCCGCTGAGGTTACGAAGCAACATTGGTCCGCGGCTCTGAGGCTTCGTCTTCGTCGTCGCCAGCCACAGTCGAGCCCTGATCACGTAGTCTCGGAACGGCGTTGATCCGTCCCACGTAGGTGGCGGCCCGGCGTTGCTGCGGCTGTCTTTGTCGTCGTCATCTTCGTCGTCAGCTTCAGCTCTGCCTCGTCGGGCTCCGCCACGGCGATTCAAGAACTGAAGGAACTGCCGGTACTCCGCCGCATCGGTGGGACTCGGCGCGTCGCCAGCCTGTTGGCCAGCTGCAGCCCAAAGGTCGAAGGGCTCTTCTTCTTCTTCCTCATCGGCTTCATCATCGGGGACCGGTTGGTCCGCTGCAGGAACGGCTGCCATGACTTAGGATCTATGCGCAGTGTCGATCGGGAAGTACCCTTACTATCCCACAGGATCGAACGAGGCTCCGCTACCACTGTTACTGGTAGCAACAGTGGCAGCCCCAAAAACACAGCATCAGGCCTTTTCCTTGTGTGCAGCTTGAGCCAACGTCGTTGGCGAAAGTCTCGTGAGCTCCTGGCTGTCTGCGTGCAAGACGATTTGGGAATAGCCTAACAGAAAACACACTATGCTATGCTATGCTATACTAGACTAGACTACATTATACTATACTATATCATACTGTACTTTACTATACTATACTATACTACACTTCACTATACTATATATATATATACTATACCATATACTATAGCTCCCTCTCGCTCTCTATATATACATATATATATATTACCCACAACACCCTAGTCTTATTGTTAAGGCCCCCCATCGTACCTCTGTGGACATCCAAAACTTGTTGACCGGCAATCACCGTTTCTAGTCCCACATCCCCCAGGCTTCCGAATTCTGCGGTGCTGGTTTAAGTCTGGGGCTCCTTAAACCACCCCAAAAGCCTTAAAAAGGCTGAACTCCCTAAAACCTTCTTTAACGCCCTCAAACGCAGTCAAAGCTATACGGACCTGAAATCCCTAAACCCTCTACAGCCAGTCGTCGCAGTTGTTGCTTTCTTTTCTTACAGTCTTACAGCCGGTCCAAAGAGCAGCCCTAAACCCTAAACCCCTAAACCCTAAACTCTAAGCAGGCCCACCGAAGTCCGATACCAAGAAACCCTTGAGCCTACCCGAGGGCTCCGGTTACACGAATAATGGGTTACTGGGTTTCATACGGAATATACCATAATTCCCATAGTCTTGGGTCCTTAAGGTAATGCAAGATTTATATCATCAGCAGTAATTAATACTTATATATACATATATATATATATCAGTAACTAGTTACTCAATGTGTATATGTGTATGTATATATATATATAATTACATGCCCAGTCACCTACTATTTAGGCAACTGGAGGTGTAGGGCAGACCTACCTTGGACAGGCAGGACAAGGACCAAGCTCCATTTTGCTTGGCACAACGTCTTCTCAAAGCTACCGACCCGTCGGCGCCTCCGTCTGAAGCAGTGCTCTCTGTTTTTGGAGCTTAACCTGTCAGTCTTTCTGGATGCCGGTTTGGTTGAGAGTGAATTGTGTATTGGGCTGCGGTTTCGCTCGGCTGATTTTGGGTCGCATCCCGGTTCCTGCGGTTTGTGTATATTGCGGTTGTCAACTTAAACCAAGTCGTTGGAATGAACTAGACAAACCCTTAATGCGTTCAGGGCTTGGATTCCGGGCAGGGCTTCTGCGGTTTCGGGTTCAGGGATTTCAGGGTTTGGGGGTTGAGGGTGTTAGGGCTCAAGCTTTGGAGGATTGGGGCTTGGAGTTTCGGTCGCAAGGGCTAGAATGCATTTTGGTGCGGTTCGGGCTCACGTGGTCAGTTTCCTTGTCTGCCGCATGTGATGGCAAAAGGGTGATTTCACAAGGCTGCAGGCTGAGTACGGAGACTCTGCGGGCATCTTTGGGACATTGTGGATGTGGTTTGGTTTGTGCACAAAGCCTGGCCTTGACCGAGCCCTTTTGAATCATCGCAAGATTCTGGCCAATTCAAACGCCAAAGCCTAAACTTCAACCTGAATGACGGTGGAATGGACAGTGGGGGAGTTCATCAGCCACAGGTGTCTAATGGCCCAACATCGCACTGAGGTGATGTTTGTGGAGACGCGCTATTTGGAAGAGCCCCGTGGTGGAGTGGTTCACAATGTAAGGAGCTGAATTTGTAGTAAACGATCCGAGATAATAATTCCAAACCCGGAAACCTCCAGCCCAGGTTCGTTGATCTTCTGGAAGGCTACCGCTGCAAAACGCAGAGGCCGCTTGGCCAATGAGCCTCGAATGTAGGGACTTGAATCCGGGCCGGAATTGATCCTCGCTGCCAAAAAATAGCTAGGCCAAGGAAGGACCGGTCAAGCGAAACGCAGAGAAAGGCAGATCAACTTGAGTACTACTGGCAACAATAGCAGTGGTCGTCCTGGCAATTGTGGTCGTAGTCGTGGTCGGGGTCGTGGTTGGTCGTCGTCCACGTCGTCGTCCTGTGGTTGCAGCAGGGGTAGTGGTAGTGGTCGTCGTCGTCTCGACGTTGTGGCAGTAGGAATAGTGGTCGGAGGAGCAGGAGTATATGTATCAGTACACCAGCACCCTCGTCCTGATCGTCATCCTCATAATCGTCACCACCATCCATTTAGTCACCATCCTCATCGAATGTAGGGTTTTAACTTGGATGCAAAAGCATTCCAAACCCTAAACCCTCCAAGCCCTGAGCCGTAAACCCTACCTTAATTTCTAAAGCCTAAAGCCTCGAAGCCCTAAACCGGCAACCCTACCCTAATCTCTACCTAAACCCGAAACAACCTACCTTTTTAAGGACTTATACAAGGAATTAATGATAATGAACTCTAAAACGGTAGGTTCGTTAGGGTCCAAGTAAACCCTACCTTAAAGCCCTAAACCCTAATCTCTAAACCCTAAAGCTTCGAAGCCCAGGTTCGTGATCGTCACGGCGGGCTCAGATGTTCCTCTCAGGCGTGAGCTCCAGGGAAGGCCCCCCTTGGCTGTTCGAGAGACACGAGACTGTTTAGTGTTTAGGGTTTAACAGGGCTTAGGGTTTAGGGCTATAGTTAAGGTTATGGCTTGGGTTACTCATGATCTTAAATAGTACCAGAAAGAGTGACCGTCGTAACCGCAGTCGCAATGACTAGTAACTATTTGTTGTCGTCATCTTTGCTGTGACTAGTACCAACACGAGCAATTCCTTTGGAATAGGAATAAAAACAGGGATGGGAATAGCAGCAGTATTAGCAGCAGGAGGAGGAGCAGTAGCCATGGCAGCAGCAGTACTAGTAGTAGTAGTAGTAGTAGTAGTAGTAGTAGTAGTAGTAGTAGTAGTAGTGATAGTGATGGCAGTAGCAGCAGCAACAGTAATAATATTGGTACGAGCACTAGTAGTGGTAAATGGTAGTAGTAATAGTGGCACAGGTTATTGTGAAGAAAGATAGTGATAGTAACAGTTTGATCAGTCATAGTTACAGTAACGGTAGCAGTACTTGTAATGGTACTAGAAATAGTAGTCGTCGTAGTAGTAGTCGTCGTCGTAGTAGTAGTAGTAGTAGTCATAGTAATGTTCCCTGATAGCCCCATATCTTACAGCCCTCGACAGAGTGCTTGTGAATCTCTTTACAGCATCAAATTACGAATCCCTTCACAGTGTAGACTACCATATCCGTACAGTCTAAGTCACCTCTTAAACGCCCTCGGCACATAAACCCTGAATCTATGAAGCCTGAGAAATTGCTGAGCCACACCCTAAACCCTACACGCTAAAAGAGGACCATCTAAAAAAAAACAACTCATCCGCAAAGTTGGACACATCAATTTCCACTGGGCTCAAGCCGCTTTGCAGCTCGGAAAGATGGGTTCCGAGACGAGCCACTTGCAGGCTTGGTTGCTTGGGTTTACCCAGACCCCCGTCTAAGTGCCCTTTAGTAGAGCCCTCGTCGTCCTTCATCGTGGGTCTTTTGGGGTGTAAGCCCTAAACCCTAAACCGAGTGTAGTTGGGGGGTCTAGGTAGGGATGTGAGGTTTGGGCTTCTCAGGGATGCAGGGTTTAGGGTGCAGGGGCCGGGGATTTTGGCATTCGGAATGCAGAATGACAAGACCAAGAGGAGTGGAAACTCAGTCGGTTGCTGAGGGTCTAGAGTGTGTTGGGTTTTCTCTCTTTTGTTCGCACACCTCTCGAAGACCTCGCAGCCCAAACCACATTCTACTTAATCGGCCCTAAACCACAAAATCCAAAGATCATTAATGAACTCCTCTTTCAACTTTCAGTTAAGATCATGGGAAGTTCTGCAAACTAGGGTTTAAGGGTTCAGGGTTTAAGGGTGTTCGAAAGAAGGGTTTGCTAGCAGTTATATTCTGGTATACACTTTGGGTTCCTAGAAGGGCTATGATCATCCACTCCACGGGTTCTTAGAAGGGCTACTATAGTGCGATTTCAGGGTTCCTAGAAGAGCTACTATATGCGTATTCTATACTATTAAATATGTATTCTAAGAGCTACTAAAGGAGTTAGCAAACCGCTACTCTCCTCTTTCGAATCTGGGGCTTCGGATATACTATAGGGGCCTTAATACTTGGAATAGGGTTTTATACTAGAGTTATAATAAGGAGCCACCAAAATAGTATGATGGATCCCGAGTTCTGATTGACCATCAAATCTTCGTGGGTTTGCGGATTGAGGCTGGTTTAGGGTTTAAGGATTATAGGGTTTAGGGTTATTCGGGTCCTCAAACCCAACACACCACTATAATTAACAAGATCGCTGGGAAATGCGCATCTCGCTACACTAAACCCACCACTGCCAACCCAGACGAAAGCTGCCGGAACCTCACCGACTCTCTCCTTTGGCCCAGACATTAGGGTTTAGGGCTTAGGCTTTAGGGTTTAGGGTTTAGGTTTTCGGGTTTAGGCTTTAGGCTCTAGGGTTTAGGGTTTAGGATTTAGGGTTTAGACTTTAGGGTGTAGGGTGCCCTCAACCCTAAATCCTAAACCCTATCCTAGACCCTGGGCCACTGAAGGCCCTTTAGCCCCACATGCTTGCGCTCGTAAGCAAAGCGCATCTGTACCGATCTAAAGCCCTAAGCCCTAGGGGTCCATGTACCCAGGCGCGAAGGTAAGGTACCTACATAGGGAGTTTTTCAAGTCCAAAGTATAGAATATGAGTCCTAAAACCTATACCCTAAACCCTAATGAGTACATGGACCTTAGCGGAGATGCAGGCGCAAGAAGAGCACAGCAGCTGCCGCATAGGCCACGCAGCACTGCTGCAGCTGCGTTTTCTGCTGTGTTTTTTCAGTCTCGGATGATCTCGGATGTCTATGTTACATAGAAGCCTAAACCCCAAACGCCCTAAA